CCTCCGCAGCCACATTTTTGCTCCTGCTGATGCTTAATTTACATGTTTTTCGGGTAACTTCATATGGAAAAGCTCCCTTGGCTCTTTGGCTTTGCATGTTTGCCATATCACAAATACCGCTGGAACGCTTCCGCACCACCTCTGCACCTTTTCTAGGTGCCTCGCATTTCATTAACTGGCTTGCTTATTGTTTTGGCTCGGGTATTCGGTTTTTCGGTAATGAAAGTGTCATGGAAGTGACTTGCAATGATAACATAATAAGTTTAATATAATGAATTTAGGTGGTTGTTCGTTGACTGCGTCGTTGACTGCGTGTGAAAGGGGGTATATTTGTTCTCAGTTAAGGGAATATTTTCACAATTGTTTCATTTATATTGAAATATATTTTCTATTCTAGTTTCAACATTTTTCCTCTGTTTGTAACATTTAAATTGATGTTTACAGAATTTTTCATCAAGTTTTTCCCATTTCAAGCTTGGAAAAATCTACCAAATTTTCAGTGCCTCACAATTTAAAAACTAAGTCTGTGGGGGAACCAAAAAATGAGGATTCAAAGCTTAAATTGAAAGGAAGCCTCAGAAATGGCCTTAGTATGTTGCTGGCTGTTGCTGTTGATGCAGCCAACACATATGGAAAATACTCGTAGGAAAAGCTGAGCTGTGTGAAAATGGGGGGACGACGACGACGAGTAGTTCCTGAAGCAGCCGGAAAATGGCAAAACCAAGGAGATGCCACTGGCAGGCGGCAGGCGGCGGGGGAGGCTGTAGGGACGGGCGGACGCCTGTTTGTTTTTGCCTTCTCTGCTGCCTGATGCTATTCCGGCTGCTTTTCCGGGGCTTTTCACGCCGCACTCAGCTACGTCGCCCCCATTTTGACCATTACACATTACGTGTAATCATCATTTTGTGCTGGCAATAAACACATGCTGTCTGCTCTCAGCAGCTCCAGCCGCACACCATATACACCATGTAGTTCACTCCCCTTTGATATCCGTTCTCCCCCCTTTCGGCAGGACACCCTCCCCCCCTCGCACACACACACATAGAAAAGGAATTTACAATTTCCAGTGCTCTGCACACTGAACACACACACACTTTATAGCATGCGATATTTTTATTGCATGCAAAATGCACAACTTATAAAAAACAACAACAAATTTGAAGGCAGAGAAAGGCTGGAAAGTCGAAGGGATAGTGAAAGCCGGGGACGGAGGGTACAGAAAAATCCAAGGGCGACTAGGAAATGCTCTGATTCATAATCTTAAAAAGTCTTATGGTAATTAATGGTAATTTATTTAAAAAAATTATATTTGAAATTAATAATAATTTAAAATATTAAAAAATCATTTAATATTAACAAAAAACATTCATTTTCGAAAGTTTTTAAAGTCGAGAATATTTGTACTTTCAATCCAATATTAAAATATATATTGCATATCTTTTAATATTCAATAAAATGTTTTAAGCATTAAATAAATACTCTTCTTTGCATATATGAGTAAACAAAATAAATTTATACTTAAAAATATATAAAATTGTCCCTAAAAAAATTCAAAAAACTCTCTTACCTCTCATAAAGTAGAGTATTTAATTTCCCTGCGTTTACCTTGGTCTACCTTTTCATACACAAAAAGTTGGCCCCGAAGCTTATTGAATGTGTGCGCTTTGATTAAATTTAAAATGTTTGATAATACTATTTGCATCCTGGTTTTCGGTGGGCCGAGGCCAAAGCGAAGGGTGCTGGCTGGCGAGTGTAATAATGCAGAAGTAAATACATTATAGGGCAATGAATCGAGAAATGGGAAAGGGCGACACGCGGTGCTAAATTCAGGACATTTTGAGCAATTTAAATGCTCCCCAGTTGCGAGTTATTCGAATTATTCGGAGATGTGACATTTTTGGGGAGCAGCTGGTACAGTAAAAATCAATTGAATGGTTTTATAAGCGAACTTAAATGATGCTTCTAGAAACATGAAATGTTTGGAATTTTAAAGAGAAGTATAGAAACCATTTCGTTAAAGGGAATCCTTAAAACATGGAAAGTTATAAGTTGCATGGGACCTTGTGCTTTTCTTATATTTTGATGTAGTCTTTTAAGGACCTTTTAACATTTCATTTGAGTTTTCTAGATCATTAAATTCGTTTTTATTTATTAGGCAAACGAAAGCCAGCGTGTCAAATAAATAGGCATTACTAATTTCCGTAACTTGACCACTGCCTGGCCGCTTTGTTTGCGGATTTCGCCATAAATCGGTTTACATCACACTCTAATCAGAGTGGGTCAGGTCGTCGCAATTGAAAACTATTCCAGAGATCTGGGACAATGGCAAACACACAGCGGGAAGCTCTCGATATTTGTGGCGGTGGAGGAGCGAGGAGCCACTGTGCCAAAGATTCGGTCGGTCTCTCTGTCGGAAAATTGTGTGTCTGTCTGGGAGTGTATGTGCAATTCGAAAACACGACAAGCAAACAAAAGCAGCCAAGGGATGGGCACTGGTGGAGGAGATGTGCAGGGGGTAGATTATCAAACGACAAATAGACAGAAATCCGGCAGAAGCAGGCAGAAGCAGGCAGCGGCGGCGACAGCAGGCAGCAAAGCAAACTTGGCCAAATCAACAAAAGCAACAACAACGGCAATAACAGGAGGGAAAACTACAACTGCAATACACAAGAGACGAACAAATTCAAATCAAACTAAACAACAATAACAACGGTGTCCAAAGAATAATCATCGTTGAGAACCAAATAATACCTCTAATTTCCCCTACAGGGTATTCTAATTTTAGCCAAAATTAAAATTACGAAGTGAAGGAGTCGACCCTATAAATCATATATATTCTTGATCAGCACAAAAAGCGGAGTCGATCTAGCCATGTTTAGAAGAAAAACATTTTTCATAATTTTTTTTTGTATTTTTGAGGTCTTAAAACGGTTCATTTGTCACAGAAAAGTTAGCAAAAATTGTAATATCTTAAAATGTGAAATTAAGTACGCAGATTTGTTTATCTGGAAAAAACTAGCACAGAAAAACTTTCCGAATTGAATTTGATGATTTTTTGGCGTAGTTATGATTGTTTTTTATACAAAAATTACCATTTAAAATATATAAAAATATTTATTTAAAGAAAGTGGATATTTCAGATCTTCTTGAGTGGTTTTATGATTTTTGTCAGCGAAGGAGTCGTTTCCGACCCTATAAATCATATATATTCTTGATCAGCACAAAAAGCGGAGTCGATCTAGCCATGTTTAGAAGAAAAACATTTTTCATAATTTTTTTTTGTGTTTTTGGGGTCTTAAAATGGGTTTATTGTCACAGAAAAAATGAGCGAAAATTGTAATATCTTAAAGTTTGAAATTTAGTAAGCAGATTTGTTTATCTGGAAAAAATTAGCACAGAAAAACTTTCTGAATTGAATTTGATGCTTTTTTGGCTTAGTTATGATTATTTTTTATAAAAAAATTACCATTTAATAATATTCATTTAAAGACAGTGAATATTTTAGATCTTAAAGGGTTTATATGATTTTAGTTAAAGAAGGAGTCATTTCCGACCCTATAAATCATATATATTTTTGATAGGCATTAAGATGCAAGTCTTTTAAGTCATGTCTGGAAAAAACTAAAAAAAATAGTTTCTTTTTTCAAATTTTTTAAGGGGTTACATTGTTAAAATTCTCAAAAATTCACAAAAATTTTCATTTCTTAAAATATTAAATTTAGTATGCAGATTTGTTAGCATAAGAAAAAAGATCACGTAACTGTTTGCCGACTCGAGATTAATGCATTTTTGGTTTAGTTATGGTAATTTTGGTGCCAAGGAGCCAATTGCTAACTCGAAGGGTAATTTCTTAATTTTTTGATTTCCCATCAATAAATATCGAATAAATTAATAAAGAAAAATATTGTGAACTATTAAGAAACCCAAGAAAAGCTCTTATGAAGTTTTTCTATAGGTATTATTGATTCCCATTTCGATAGAACTGCAATAGAAACATTGGCTTATCAAAGATAGCTTCATCTCTTCCTCTCTCTCTCTCTCAAACTCTTATAATTCCGCATATATTTAAACCAACAAATTAATCTACTTGGTCTTTTATATTGGTTTTCGTTACTTGTGATCTTAAATCCGGCTAAGGAATACAATTTAAACAGCAAACTACCTAGAATCTCTCTAGGAAAATAGAGTTTTTATATGGCAGACATTATATGTAGCTTATATACCCCTCTGACTTACGAATACCACGCAAAAACGCATGCAAAGTTGCTGCAAAGCGTAAACTAGAACAGGCAGCCAGCAACATTGACTCCGGCAACATAAGCAACATGCCATCCAGCAACATGTAGCCCAGCAACAATTGGCAGCCCAAGCAACATTTTAGCAACATTCAGCAACATTGAATGCTGCTAGCTTGTCGCGCATGTAGCAGCAGCAACATTTTCGACAGCAGCAACATCTACAGCTTGCTCGCCGCAACATCGTATAGTGACGCTAGTGCAGCGCAGCCAGCGTCGCACAGTGGACAATATGAGTTGTTTTGTAACTAAATAACAAGTAAGATCCTCAAGTAACTCAAATAATATATGTTGGATAATTGTGGCGTTAGATTATTTAGACTTTAAACCAAATACTTCTACCAGCGTGCTGAAAACAACATAATTTAAATTTATTCTTTAATTGTTGTTAGGTATAATTATTTCAATTATTTATTAATTGAATTTACGTTAGTCCCCTTAATCCAACCAATTATAAGATTATATAGATTATTGGATATTTTTATCGTACACAAACATACAGTTTGTTGCTTCAGCAACACCGTTTGTACTAGAGGCCCATAGTGCGCCGCCTGCATACATGTAAAAAACGCATACGCCGAGTGTTCGCATATGCCAGAGGGCCGAGGGGGGTGGTTCTGCCGCAGCCGACGTCGCCGCCAGCGCCGCTGCCATGCTCCATGGCCCGTTGGCAACTTTATAAACACGGAGCGGACTTCAGTCGTTTGGTAACTGTTGCATTCAACGCTTCGTTCGCTCCACTCCACGAGCCAGCTTGTTTTCTGTGTGTTGAGTTCGTGAATTCTCGAGTTCGTGCGTCGTTCGTTCGCCCGTCCGACGTCGTTCGTGTATCGCCCTCGTTCGTGTGTTGGTGCATGTGTGTGCGTCTAGTGTGTGGGTGCCGGTAGGCAGTGTGTTTGAGCTCCATATATTTCACGCAATCTTCGATTTTAGTTGGAAAGCATACAGCGATCGTATATATAGCTCGTAATCGAATAAGTAACCAAACAACAAAAAATATTTATATTAATAAAAATAATAAAAATAAACAAAATCCCAGTGAAAGTCACACACACGAAAACAACACACACACATAAAGTCTAAAGGCGGGCCGTAAAGTGCCGCTGGAAAAGTACTTCCACGTTTTATTTTATGCATGAAAAGCTAAAGCAAGTGCAACCGCAACAACACACAAATCTCACTCCTCACTCCATTCAAGTCCCACAAAAAATAAGTCCAAATACGGAAAAATAAACCCGGGATTACAGCACGCAAAAAAGAAAAACACAAAGTAAATAAAAGGAAGCCAAAGGAAGTCAACACAAAATCATGTCACGGATCGTTTTTATATTTCTCGCAGCCATCTTAACAGGTAAGAATAACACAACAAATAAACCAAGAAAACAACGGGGGACAAAAAATCCAGCTAAGAGAAAAAGTTAAGACCCAAAGACCCGCTCATGGGATGATATCACGCGCTCGTTTAAGACTCGCCTCGCATGTGTGAAAAAATTTAAGCTCGCACCTCACAAATATTTAAATCTACATATTTATGTATAAATAGAGAGATATAGAAAAGATGCTCCTAAAACGTGTTCTCACCTCTTGAGCTCAGAAATAATAATATCAAAAGTTGATTGATGGGACAAACACGACACATTTCTCCCGGGGGGCGGGTGAAAGTGTCCATCACAGTATCCATGAAATTGATAGTTGTTCTTGGCTTGGAGACGCTTGACCCCGTTTTTTCCAACCATAACTCCCATTGCGCATGCTCAGAGTGTGACCGAAGCTGCGTTTACAACCTGTGCCGCCGTCGCGCGCGTCAAGTGTGACCTTTCGCGTTGCGGGTACAGCTGCCTCAGCTGACATTTGCCATGCGCCGACACCGCACCGGCTTAAAAAGGTCAACAACCAGCATATAGCGGAGTAGTACCAACAGAGTTGGGCTTGTCCAAAGATCTTTAGCCTATAGGATGAATCACGGGAGGTAATTACTTGGATGGAGCAGCTGTTTAAATTGATATCTTTTACAAGGTTTTGTTTCCATAGTTGTGCGAGGTTTTTATGACTTTTAAACAGTTTCATTAATTTTTTATAGGGGGAATTAGTTTTATGGGTTTTTCCCTTTTTAATGAATTCAAGATCGTTGTGAAGGGGTTTTAAACGTGATAAAAACTTTATTTCATTTATATTATTCTTTGATGTCTGCAGTAATCTATAAAAAGTCAGTTTAACTTATCAAATATGATACGACTATCTGTCTATTGTGTCATCAATATATGAAGATAGGCTGATGAGGTACTATAATATTCCGATTAATATATGGACTGTCCCAGTTGTGAACCAGTTTGCTACAGTTCGTGAAATGTATTTATTTCTTAATTTCCCAGCCTAGAATTAGTCTCAACCCCTTTATATGTATTTAAACAAGAAAGGAAGCTAACTTCGGCACGCCGAAGTTTGTATACCCTTGCAGATTGGTTTTGATGTTTATATTATAGATTTAAATGCTGAAAACACACACAAAACAGAGTTTCATTACATTTTACCTATACTTATTATGTTTACATTTTGACAGTTACAGTTTTACATTCCCAGCTTTACATTTTCTCTACATTTACCGATCGTTTATATGGCAGCTATATGATATAGTTGTCCGATTTTCATAAAATTTATACCAAAATTCTAGAATAATAAAATAAGCTTATATCTAAAAGTAGATAAGAATATGTTGAAAAACAACGAAGTTATAATTTTTTTCCTATTCATTTGCCGATCGTTCCTATGGCAGCTATAAAATATAGTCGTCCGATTTTCATAAAATTTTTACCAAAATTCTGAAATAATATAAAATGGCTATGTCTCAAAAATGATTCATTGAAAAACAGCCAAGTTATAATTTTTTTTCTAAAAATTTATCGAACATTTGTATGGGAGCTATATGGTATAGTCGTCCGATCCGGCCCGTTCCGACATATATAGCAGTGAGAGTATATAGAAGACTATATGCAAAGTTTCATTCAGATAGCTTTAAAACTGAGGGACTAGTTTGCGTAGAAACGGACAGACGGACGGACGGACGGACAGACGGACGGACAGACGGACAGACGGACAGACGGACATGGCTAGATCGACTCGGCTGTTGATGCTGATCAAGAATATATATACTTTATAGGGTCGGAAACGTCTCCTTCACTGCGTTGCAAACTTCTGACTGAAATTATAATACCCTGCAAGGGTATAAAAACAATGCCGGATACTTGTGCTATCATGCATCCTTGAAATTAAGAGACAACATCAACATCCACTTGAGCATTACTTTCATCTCTGTATTTGCGACGAATGCGGATATAAATTCTATGCCTCATCATCCTGGGGCCCAAAAAACTCCGTCTATCTGTCTGTCTGTGTGCTGGGAGGGTCGCGGGTCCTATTTAATTAAAATCCCTCAATGTTCCACACACACATAGCCTCTGCTTATTATTTTGTACCCTCTTATTACGCCAGCCAGAAAAAGAGATAGGAAATGGAGCTGGAGCTGGTCCTGGAGCTGTAGAGCGAAACTGAGACAGATTTCTCATTAGCTGAAAAAGAAGATGCTGGTTTTATGCTAAAGCCTAACAACATTAACACAACACACGGCACATGGAGCCGAGTAGAGCAGAGCTGTTGCTTTTGCAGCTGTCTCATTACCGCCACAACCCCTCGGCAGAAGCACCCGCTCCAGCCCTTCGAACTCCCCCATGACGTGACTTTAAGACAGCGCAACATTTTATTCAACTCGCTAAGCCTGCTGCTGCCACTGCAACCTTTCAAAGGTTCACGAAAATGTAAATGCAAAAACTGCTCGAAAAAAATGGTTGGGGGAGGGATGAGTAAAGTCCTGCAGCAAACCAAAAAAAAAGAAGGAAAGCAAGCATCCCCACTGCCTCCTCTTCATCCCTTTTCTAGCAGGGCTTTGGCACTTCACACTGAATACTTTTACATTTTTATAGGACTGACGCATCGCAGACATCGCATCAGTTGCCGGCTGCCTGGCCTGGCCTGTTGTCTTGCAATTATAAATGTTTAATGCAGCTCCGGCCGTGGGCTCATGGAGCCTTTTTTCAGCTTTGTTACATAGCTAGCCGATCAATTGATACCCTAGAAAGTTGTCAGCATAAATACAGTCATTATAGTTTCATAACATATACTTGAAGAATCATTAAGCCAAACGTATAAATTTATAACTATTTATAACTATATTTAAGTATCTATCTATATTTAATTATCACAATCAGATAATATCTTGAATGTTTAAAGATTATCTCCATGCTGAAATACATAAAAATACCACAAAATATATACAATAATTTCTAAAATTTAATTAATTTAACAAACTTTTCCCCTCTAGTTTGACATAATTTGACATTATCTACTTAGCTCAACTATATATATAAGTACTTGTCCCATTAAAAATCCACACACAACATCTTTTTGCAAACTTTCCCTACCAAGTTTTATGGATAATATACCCCTTTGTGCGGGGGGGTCATAAAAAATAAAATAGAAGACATGTGCAGCATGTAAATAAGGCATTGCTTCCGAAAAACCCATTCACAGTAATTCAAATGGTCGAAAGGAACTCCATTCGTGACGTATTTAGTTATGACGAACAAAAACGGTTCAGCATTTATGCATTTTAATGGGCACCAATTGAGGCATGTTCCTGTACTACGAACTATATATACTAGGATATATAATACCAGCTGGTAACAAAAAGGACCAGGGCATTGAATTAAATACGTGCAATGTTTGCCCAGTTTGCCGGCTCTCTTGCTCCCTCGTCCTCGGACAGTGACTGGTGGCAAACTGTTACCACTGTGACTCCAACTGTGCATCTATGCTACGTACATATATATCTCTTTTTTGGACAATCCAATGCCACCCAAAAACCATACCCATGACATACATAATTTTCAACTCTTTTTCTACCTATGGTAATTGCAATGGGAATCGCAGAGAGATGGCTGGTAGGAAGGGCCAAGCTCCCCCTGCCTCTCATTCATATTCATAGCATCGTTTCATTTTGGCTTTTTGCTTGGGCTACCTGGTCCAGTCCAGTCCAGAGTCCAGTCCCAGCGCCGGACTGAACATTTTTGCAGTAACTGTGAAACGTTGCAAAAAGCGGACAACCAAAGCCAAAAGGACACAAAAGCTTTATCGCGCTGCGGGGCTATAGTTTTTTCGGTAGTGAATTCCCTTAATGAAAGGCGGGTGGGAGTTTTCCTCCGAAGGAGAGAAAGCCGAGGGCCGAGGCTCCTTTCAAATGCTACTATTTTGGCCACCTTTTAATTGTTTGCTTTTGGATAGTGCCGGGTCTCTAATCAATCTATTATTTATTGATTGCTTGGGAATTTCCAAAAGTTGCTACAGTTTTCTTGCAGCTTTCCAGCTTGCTACTTGGTTATTTTCGGTTACTTTTTAATTGGTACCTAAAGACTACTCGTTTTTTCTCTTTCAATTAAAAGTTTTTGGTATTTAAACCTCGCATCTAATATTAGTTTTTAACGCATTTAAAGCTCCTCAAATAACACATTTCCATTATAAATTTAAACCAAAACTTGGAGCTTAATTGGTCCGGTTCTCGATTTATCGTTTTCGACAATCAATTGATTTGTATTGGCCGAAAATTCGCGTGTATCGCTTTTCAATTAAATTTTCGCACATTCTCCACAATTCACACTATATTTTGGTGAACAAGCACTTTTATTTACGAATTGTGCAATTTTGGGCCGACACAGAGACAAATAGAAATGCACAATTTCATGACTAATTTGCTGAAAAATGACTGAACAATGTCAACAGCACAGCAACAACATTTGCATGCATCCTTTGTAGATATAAATTCGTGCATATAGCTGCACATATTCTATGAGAGAGTGTGCAGCGGCGCTGCACAGGAAGTTGGCAACGCTTTGGGCCATGTTGGAATTTTCGGGCCAAAACCAGATAGCAAGACATGGAGGGGGAGGCGGGGCGACAAGTGCGATATTGACAAAGCGTATGCCAGGCAAATTAAATATAATGGGGATCTACCCTACTTATTCTGCTCCCTTTGCTCTCGCCCCGACAAAACAGTTGAAAAGACAATAAGAGAAAGGAAAGCGGGAAAGCCGGCAAAAAGTTGCCTCAGCTTATGGAAAAGTTTCCCGTTTTCCTCTCGTTTTCCGCCGCTGTTTTTGGGGCTCTGAAAACTGCAAACAAGTGTGTGTATAGGGAAGTCTCCGGTCCCTCACAATGAGACAAACTTTTGATCGATTCCACTTCACTGAATTGTCTTTACGGGCACGTACTAACAACGTGGAAACGTGTCCAAAATTGTAAAAA